TCTGCGCTGCGGGGCCGCGTGGCTGCCGCAAGTCCGGACTTGAATCCCGACGTGGTGTGCGCTTCAGTCTCAACCAGCGCGCAGCGCCGGGGGAGCTGAACAGGTTGAGTGACTTCAGGCTGTGGGAGGAATAATCATCTTGGGTTGCTTCAGAGAGCCGAGGCAGCCAAACCGGGCGAGAATGGCACTGTGGAGCGCCTCGCATCTCTGCCAGGTACCTCCGGAGAGTGTTTGTGTTTGAAGCACTTTTTATAGAACTGCTGTCAAAACGGGTAGAGAGCGAGCTTAATTGGGACCGATCTGAAAAACGAGGTGGTGTGTAGGTGTGCAAGGGATGTGTGCAGCGAGCGGCTGCTTTCAGCCAGAGCTGAGCATAAACAGGTCCAGTCTGATGTTTATCAGGGACTCTTATCTCCTGAGCTGGTAAATTTTTTACTGTCGTGTCAGTTACGATCCGCAGACCGGGGAGCATTAAAGACAACGTTGTGTACAGCGTGAGTAAGGCTGAGCATGCCTGTCCTGCTGCAGCCAGCGCTGCCCTGGCTGGTGGGGGGGGGAGCCAGCTCGCCCCGTTCAAGCTACGGGATCTGTCTGCCCAGCGAGCAGGACCTGGGGCTCCTGCCTCTGGCGTCAGCCCGAACGCCGTCCCCTTGCTTGTACTGAGTCACAAGTGACTCACTTTAAACTTGGATGTGAGTGCAAAGTATACATTTGCAAATTGGCTGGTGAGGCACTGCTTTGCAATGTAGGTGGGATGTATTACATACTCCAGCAGTCAAGTTCTGCTCTTTTTCCCTCCTCCCTCTCCCTCCGAGCAGGATAGCTGTCTGAACCCAGGATTTTGGTGCGGTTCTCGCGGGCGCAGGAAGGCGTCTCAGCCCGCTCCAGTGGATGTGGCATGTGGATGGCTCCAGCTCCGCTCGTGACGGAGCTCTGCACTGAAGATGGATGATTTAGCTCTCCTTGACCTGTTGGAGTGTCCTGTGTGCTTTGAAAAGCTCGACGCCACAGCGAAGGTGCTACCTTGCCAGCACACTTTCTGCAAGCCCTGTCTGCAGAGGATCCTGAAATCCCAGAAGGAGCTCAGGTGCCCCGAGTGCAGGACCCTCGTCCTCTGCAGCATCGAGCAGCTGCCCTCCAACCTGCTCCTCATTCGCCTCCTGGATGGAGTCAGGTGTGGACCAAACATTACCAGGTTTGGCTCGATCCAGAGGTCAGGGGTCCTGTCCTCCCCTGCCTCCATCAGGAGAGTCCCCAGGGGGTTGCAACTTCATCAGCACCGGCTGGCGACAAATCCCAGGATCCACATGGAAGGGGTAAGGAGGGTCCACATTCTTTACCCAGTCCGTCAGCATAGAAAGCTTTATTCTTGTGTGCCAAGAGCTATGAAACTTTCCTGTTAGCAGTATTGCAGAAATGTCTGAAGTAAGAGAGATTGTTTTGTTTGCAAATCTGGTTGCTGTTTCCTTGTGATATTTGACTATTTTGAGTTCATCACAATAGTAACTGCATTGACTCTCAGGCTGAGACCTGCTTGCCCTTCTCCTTACAAAAAGTTCACAGAAGCTGTTTTCCCCAGGAGTTTTCAGGTGCTTCCTGACTTTGGGGGGGAGGGGGGATGGCATTTCAGGTGCTTCAACTTTTGGGCAATATACTGATTTTTGACTGATAGCAATTAAATCAGTAATTGCAAAGCTGTAACTGTTAGAGATGGAGAAAGGTATTTCCCATCGCTGCACCTCGGTTTCCCCAGCCATTGAAAATGAGAGCCCGTAACGATGCTTATGTCCCTGGCAAAATACTTTGAGGTTCACTAATGAAAAGCATTAAACTCGACTTACTTACTAACTTTATCTAGGGATGATTTACTAGGCTAATTTTAAAATTCTAAGTTGTTTCTGTCATTTTCTTTAACAGTACAAAAGCTTTTCTTAAATAATGAGGACATGCTATTAGACCTGTTAAAGGAGCTTGGCTCAGATTGCATTTGGGGTAGACACTGACGCGTGGCTTCACCTTTCCCACATTTTATTCCTGGATTTCCATTTCTCCCACCTGAACCTATTCTTCTTTACAATGTCTCTACAAACCTTTTCACAACATTCAAAAGCTTGACTCAAATGGCTGTTCGGTCTCAGACGAGGACATGATATTAGACCTGTTAAAGGAGCTTGGCTCAGATTGCATTTGGGGTAGACACTGACGCGTGGCTTCACCTTTCCTACATTTTATTCCTGGATTTCCATTTCTCCCACCTGAACCTATTCTTCTTTACAATGTCTCTACAAACCTTTTCACAACATTCAAAAGCTTGACTCAAATGGCTGTTCGGTCTCAGAGCATTTTTCAGAATTGCAGAGCTATAAACTTCCAGGCATAGGACAGGTTTTCTCGCCTGCATGCTATAGAGGTACATATGTGCGGGTATTGCTGTGGAGCTGTAGATGTCCTGTGGGTACAAGCTGGTGTGCGTATCCCAGGGAATCTCTGTGGCGTCGATGTCATCTTGGATGGGTCATGTATAAAACCAGATCTCTCTCAGGAGCTCCTCTCTCAGGTTTTCCCACTGGAAGGCATGGCAGTGTGGCCCTGGGAGCGAGTCCCTTTCCTGGGAGCCCTGGCTGGCCCACAGCTTATCAGGCAGGCAGGCATGCCTGCCCGTGCACGGAGGCAGCGCCTGGGCCAGGTGGGCGATGCGAGAAGGCCGGCCTGGAAGGGGCCATCCACTTCTCCTGCATGCATCTCTGTGGCCAGAAATTATGCTTTAGCTTAGATGAAACGTAGCTCAGTCCCCAAAGGCGCTGAGCGATGCTGTTCCGGTGGTGCTGGGGGAGCAGGGGCAGGTGGGCAACGCAGCACAGCCCGGGAGCGGCCTCCCGTCTGCAGCACCCGTCAGGTGAGCGGTGGCCGGGTGGGACAGCAGAGCGGGGCGGGGGCGAGCGCGGTCCTCAGGCTGCAGACGGCCCCGCTGCAGCGACCTGTGCGGCCCGGCG